GGCTCAGGGGCGAGCCATCCCCCCCGTCAGTTCCCCCATTGGCCATGCTGAACCAACGCTGCTCAGGGCACCCCCGGCTCGCCGTCGCAGTTATCAGACCTTCCGTCAGACATGCCATTAGGACCCTAGCTGCTGTCCTCCTGATCAGCAGAGCTTTCCAGTACAGCAGAGACGAGCCACCACGACGGGCCCGTACACCGGCTTATGCATAGCCCTCAGTTACGAGGGCTGAACTGAACCACACATCTCCCAGCGTGGCCTCAGAGCTGGCCTGGATGCGCACCCCCAGCACCCGGCTGTTATCCCAGCACCTTTCTGAAAGGGAGCCAGAGATCCCAGTGTATGCCCCCCGCTACGCCAGCGCCTTGCCTTCCCCCAGAGCATACCTAAGCCCCCTCGCTTCTGCTAACGACGCTACCCCGGGTGCTTGCCGAGGGCTGGACCCCACCATGGCGTTACACCGTCCCTTTCCTGGGCACTCGTCCTCCGCCCCGAGGCAGGGATGCAGCTCCCCGCTGGGTGCTGCTCCTCTAATGCTACTGGAAACCAGAGAGCTCTCCCGGTGTGAGGCACCACTGGCACTGCGCAGGGTGCAGCACGGAGGCAGCCAGCGGGTCAGCCTTCGGGGCTCTTCCCCCAAAGGAGGATCACAGAGCCCAGTGCAAGGAACAGGCGCCCGCGGGGCTCCCTCCGTGCCACAGTGCAAACCTGCTGCCTGGGCGCATCCTACACATGCACGGTCGGCAATTAAAACACCGACGGTTCCTGCGACAACACCTTCACCTAAGCAGCACTGGCACCCCAGATGCTCTGGCTTCATCATGCATCTGAGCTTCTTTTTTATTTTCTGTGGGCCAAGGCTTTCTGGGCAGCTTTGGATTCGGCAGGCCAGCTTGCTCCACCAGGAATCTCACCAAGACCTCCAAACCCAGTATCTGGGCGCACAAACTGGCTGGCTCCAATTAGGTTTTATTCATATGTGGGCACTGCTAAGAGACCAGGCTCTGCAAATCCCCCTGCCAGGCACGCTACCCGCAGAGGTTTTTGGGGCTCTGTCTCAGTATCTACTTTCTCAGATGCCTTAAAGAGCCAAAACAGAATCACAGAATCACAGAATCGTAAGGGTTGGAAGGGACCTCAGGAGATCATCTAGTCCAACCCCCCTGCTAAACCATAAATATAATACTGGAACTTAACTATATAATAACCCAAAGGCTCCATCACCTCCACAGACATCCCCAAACAGCTTTTCCTGGTGACAGGAGACCGCCACTACGTCCAACCGCACCCTTTCCAAGTTTACAATTGCTTGGGATGGCTCTCGCCCTCCAAAGCCAGCTGTGACCCCCTGCCCTGCCGTGTGGAGCAGCGCAGGCAGCCACTGCCAAGCAAATGCCGGGCAGGGCTGCGCCCTTCTGTTTGCCCCAGGTTTGCTCCCAAAGCCAACCTCGCCATCCGTCAGTCGCTTTGGAGGAACCGTATCATGTGCACAGTGGAAAAGGGCATTTTCCAGACCCAGCTTTACTCAGGCCCAACTTGCTACTGGGGACCCCGCCTGCCTTCTCCCTGCTGAGCCACCCGAGTTCCCTCAGCAGAGGAAGCCCAAGCTTCTCCTTCCCCCGGGATCGCCCGGGCCAGCTGGGAGCCTGCTCCTGCTCCCGGGGCCTTCTCAGGGCACCAGCACCCCATCCTTCCCTAGGAACCCCGACCCTTCCCTGGGCACTAGCACCCCATCCCTCCCTGGGAACCCCCACCCTTCCCTGGGCACCAGCACCCCATCCTTCCCTAGGAAACCCCATCCACCTTTCCCAAGGCACCCCCCATCTTCCCTGGGCACCATCACCCCATCCTTCCCTGGGCACCCCCCTCCACCCTTCCCTGGGCAGCAGCACCCCACCCTTACCTGTGCAGCCCCATCCACCACCAGCTCAAAGGATGCTCCCTCTGTGCCGAATCGCAGGATATCCCCCGGACTCACTCCCACAGCCGCATTTTGGACCTGGCAGCCATTGACAAAGGTGCCATGGGGGGAGTTGAAGTCCTGAAGGACGAAGCTGTTGTCCGAGGGGGTGAATTTGAGGGCTGCGTGATGATCTGCTGCACCTGCGGACTGGCAGTGGGTGATCACCAGGCAAGCAGGGAAACCTGCTAGCAAGCAGCTCGGGTTTTGTTACTGATTTGCCAAGCCCCCCCCCTCCTTGCTGTACGCCTCTGCCTAAGCTGGTGGCCCCTGCGCTTTGCAAGAGGTTCCCAGTGCACCCTACTCCCTCCATCCAAACCACCATCCATTTTACGACCGTCGGCTTCCTTGCCCTTACCTGCAGGACAATGTCAGACCCTTCGTGCCTGCCTATCGTCGTGGTGTGCTGTTTCAGCTGAAAACACCCCTCCGAACTCTTTAGAAAGGCTCGCATCGTCCAGCCCCTTCAACCTGCAAGGTTTGCATTCAAAAACAAAATTAAAACCAAACCTCCTCATTTAGCAATCCCCATCCAACACGCGCAACTTGGCCAGGAACAGCTTGACCAACTCGTGCAATAGAAATCATATAAAATCAACCCAAAGGCGGCTCTGCCCTGGCCGGCAGCGTGGCTGCAGCCTCGCAGTAGCCTTGGAAACCCCAGCCCCGCCAGAGCCTGCTGCCACCCTCCTGGGTTCACTTTTGTTTTGTTTTGTTTTTTTTTCCCCTTCTCCTTTTTCTAAGCAACTGGCCCGGCAGCACAACACAGCTCCCTTGCAACACGGCCACAGCTCCCCTTGCCAGCGGGTGACCCACACAGGAACATTTCCCCATGGATGGCCGGGCAAGCTGCTGGTGAAGATTTTTTTACCTTTTGTTACTTCTTTTTTTTTTTTTATTTATTACTGTGCACGCACGCACAAACAGGTCTTGCAACCTCAGACAAGCAGAGAAACGCTGCCGCCTGGCGATTGGGATGCTGTCACCCGGCAGCACACTTCTCTGTCACCGTGCCGTCGTCCCAGGCTGCCGCACACCCTTTGGCCTCCCCCCCCCCCGCGGGGCGCGAGCCTCTTCCCCCCCCACCCAAGCACCCCCCCTTTGCTGCCGTCCAACCCATCTGCCCTCCTGGCAAAGGGCACCCCAAATGACAGCCCCTAATTAGCGGGGTCTCCCACCACCAACCACACTCTGCTCATCCCCACGCCTTTCCTGCATTGCTTTCCGAACCCCACCAGCGTCTTCCCGGTGCGACTGCGGCGCCGTGGGCTGGTTGGAGGCAGGCAGGTTGGTGAGCTGGGTGCCGCTCCAGCACCCACGTCCCCCCCCATGGGTTTTGGGAAGGAGGGAAGCGTGGCAGCCCCTACATTGCCCCAAACCACAGCATTTCCCTCGACCCTGGTGTCGTGCCCTACATAACATGACTATAACCCTTTTGAAAAGCTGCCCAGGCTTGCTGGAAACGAGCCTAGACCTCACATTTTTGTTCACAGCAAACCTCAGGATTGCTTTTTGGCCCAGTCCCGCTCCCACGGGTGAGAAAGTCTCACATCATCCAGCCGAAACGTGTAGGAAGCAGAGCACAAATTCCCCCTTCAGCCAAAGGCGCAGGCACGCAGAGAGCGGGCGTCATGCTGCGAGGGCGGCTATCGCCCCGCCGGCCTGCCAGGCCACAGCACGCAGTTCGCATGCACGCATGCCAAACCACAGCGCTTCCCCCCCAAATAAATTGCCCATCTACAAATAAACTGCAAACAAAGGTTTCCTGCTATTCCCAGGGCTGCTCCGACGCTTGGCAGGACCTGAATGCCAACCCCGGACAAAGGGGCTGCATGGGGGCACGGTCAGCTGTGCCACGGCCGTTCGGCACCGCTGGCACCTACAAATAAACCTGTGAACAAATTCTATGCGGGAGAACAGCTCGAGCAAGCCCCTTGAGATTTTATCAATGCTTACTTTTGAGGCAGAAGCAGTAGATTTTGCAGGGGAGCGCTCCTCCGGGAACCCAAGGACAGTACTGCAGCACACACCTTGGCGGTGGCCCCGCTGCCAGCATTTCCATCCCCTCCTTTCATAGAATCATAGAATGGTTTGGGTCGGAAGGGACCCCTAGAGGTCACCCAGTCCAACCCCCCTGCAGGGAGCAGGGACACCTTTAACCAGATCAGGTTGCTCAGAGCCCCGTCCAACCTGGCCTGGAATAGTGATGGGCCACCGCCCACCTCCCTGGGCAACCTGTTGCAGTGTTTCACCGCCCTCATTGTAAAGAATTGCTTCCTTATATCCAGCCTAAACCTACCCTGCTTCAGTTTAAAACCATCCCCCCTTGTCCTGTCACAGCTGGCCGTACTAAAAAGATTTTCCCCATCTTTCCTATAGGCCCCCTTTAAGCACTGAATGGCCACAACCAGGTCTCCCTGCAGAGCCTTCTCTTCTCCAGGCTGAACATCCCCGTCAGCCTGTCCTCATAAGAGAGGTGCTCCAGCCCTCGGATCATTTTAGTAGCCCTCCTCTGGCCCCGCTCCAACAGTTCCATGTCCTTCTTGTGCTGAGGGCTCCAGAGCTGGATGCAGTACTCTAGGTGAGGTCTCACCAGAGCAGAGCAGAGGGGCAGAATCACCTCCCTCGATGCCGGCCACGCTTCTCTTGATGCAACCCAGGGTAGGGTTGGCCTTCTGGGCTGCCAGCACACATTACCAGCTCACGTTCAGCTTTTCATCCACCAGCACCCCCAAGTCCCTCTCGGCAGGGCTGCTCTTGATCCTTTCTTCCCGCAGCCTGTATTGATACCAGGGGCTGCCCCGACCCAGGTGCACGACTTTGCACTTGGCCTTGTTGAACCTCATGAGGGTCACACAGGCCCCACCTTTCCTTGCAAGGGCTTTGCGCTAAAGGCAGTGGCCAAGGATTCCCAGCCCCAATCCAGCGCTGCTGCGATGCTTTTGAAAGCTAAGAACCACCAGGCTCCCTCGGTGGCATTACTAACAGGTCTGCACACCTCATGAGCTGCCACCTTCCAAACCGTGCAGGGAAACACCTCCCGATTTCTCACCTACCAGCGTGTCTGACCTGGGAAAAACATCTCCATCGCACTCACCCTCAGGAATAACCGTTCCCTTACGGTATATTGCAGTGCCAGCTCAATTTCAGACAGGGGCGAGCCATGCTAGGAGAGCGATGGTCACAGGGTTGGGAGCACTCGCACTCCTCCGCGTCCCACGTTGACCTCTGCTTCTCACATTCCGTCAGAGGGCGAGTAGCTGGAGATGCCCATTAGTAATTTTGGCATTTTTCACATAATTCCTATGTTAGTCACAGCCCGTTTCACTGCAGCCATGGCACTTTACATCATTTTTCCAGCTCTTTTCCTGCCTGAGACATTGGGAAAGATTCTGCTTTGGCCAATCCGGTTCATTTATGTGGGACTTTCTGGTGAAGAAGCTCCACGGAACTTCAGCTCCCAACTGCTCAGACAAGAGGCTTCGCTTTATTAACCCAATATTTACCCAGATCTTCTAAGGCAACTGCTAGGGCTGTGTTTCCTCACCAGGGAGAGCGGACTTCAGGCCCTGCCTCCTGCTGCGGGCAGGCTCTTGGGGCACAGGAGCCTGGGAGACAACTTCTGAGGAGCCGCACCGCCTCTCCAGCCCCCCACTAACAAGAACCATGTGAGACACCCGCCCCAAATCCCCTCAATATGGGGTATATTCTTCCACTTTTTTTATTTTCCCTTCTCTTCAGTAAGGGAGTTCCTTATTTAATGATACTATTTTGCCCACCTGAGGTCATGCCAGGGGGCACAGCAAAGCAAAATCCCTGTGATACAACAACAGACATTACGAGATGCAATACAAAACAAGAACGAACAAGAAACTGCTATATGGATTTACAGAATCCTGGAATGGCAAGGGTTGGAAGTGCTCTTGGGAGCTCACCCAGTCCAACCCCGCTGCTCAAGCAGGCTCATCCAGAGCGGGTTGCACAGGACTTCGTCTAGGTGGGCTTTGAATATCTCCAGAGAAGGAGACTGCACAGACCCCCTGGGCAGCCTGTGCCAGGGCTCTGTCACCCTCAAAGTCAAGAAGTTCTTCCTCATGTTCAACTGGAACCTCTTCTGCTTCAGTTTGTGCCCATTACCCCTTGTCGCTTGGCACCACTGCGAAGAGTCTGGCTCCATCCTCGTGACATCCACCCTTAAGATGTTTATATGTGTTGATGAGGTCCCCTCTCAGTCTTCTCTTCTTCAGGCTGAACAAGCCCAGCTCCCTCAGCCTTTCCTCATACGGGAGATGCTCCAGTCCCCTCGTCATCCTTGTTCCTCTCCTCTGGACACTCTCTAGGAGTTCCTCATCTGTCTTGAACAGGGGAGCCCAGAACTCCTCTGTCTTCTTTTTGGCCACTCGCGCTCCTCCCGTACCATGTATCAGCCATATTGCCAAGTCAACCTCTGTTGAGCGGTCCTTACCCACATTGATATCAGCATCATCCCAACAATGCCACATCCCTATCGGCAGCCCAGAGATGGAGGGTGGATGGGCCAGCGCCAGCATCTGCCACAAATTCATGGGAGATTTCTGCTCTTTACCCACACCGTCAGAATTCAGACCATCCGAGGGAGCCCATGGCTGAACATGCTGATGGCTGGTGTTGATGGCATTGCTGGAAGCCCAGGAGGCAGCATGTGGCCAGGATGCCCATGGAATGGGCAATCTGCCCTGAAACAGCCGACTGCTTTCACACCGCTCTGGCTTGCAAACCTTGGGAAGGGCCAAACCACGCACGAGTGCACACACACACAGGCACAATGTACAAAACATTTATTTAGAACAGGTCTGCTCGCCCAGCACGCCCAGCACTCGTTTCACCCCATGCACCTCCCGGCAGCGGCGCGCTCAGCTCTCGACCCCCTGGATTTATCCACTCGCCTCAAACAGACCAACCCTTCGTGTCGGAGCACAAAAGGCAACAGGGAAAGCAACCAGGGCAAGAAATCCATCCTCTTCCCAAGAAGCACATCCCATTTCATCCCACTTCCCACCAGCAAGCACAGATCTTGGCAGGAGCTGGGTTCTGGGCCACCCTGGGCCAACCCCCTGAGCCCAGAAGGGAGCAGGGGAAAGCTGCAGCTCTGCTCTGGCAACATGGCTTCCCTTACTCGGAAAGAAAAGACACCTAAAAATAGAAGAACATTTCCCTTTTCCACTTGGAAAATCCTTGTTCAATATCAGTTTGGTGGCTTGGACAAGCCTCGCTGGGGGCAAGGGGGAGAGGAGGCGAGAAGACATGTAGCTGGTCCTTATGTAAACCACCACTAATTACACTTTCGGTACTTCCAGCCTTCATTTACTTCAGAGCCGCGGATCTATCGGCATTCAGGTTTCTTTTGTAGAACCCCGACCTGGGAAAAGCTTGTTCTGTCCCCGTGCCGCAGTGCTACGCACCCATCATGTCCTCCATGTCGTTGCAGCTTCCAGGGAGCCCTGACCGCTTCTGCGCCCGCAGACTGAGCCGCCCCTCTTACGTGTGGGTGTTTTTAAAACAAAACCAAAAACTAAAACCAAACCCCAAAACCCAGCAGCATCATGGATTCCTCTTCGTTAAGTCATTTGCTGGCTCCCTGGCACTTTCTCCTGGATCTCCTCGTACTTGGGCGGGGGGGTCAGCGGCTCTATCGTGATAGGGGCAGTGCTGTTCCCCTCCGCAAGGTTTAGCCTGATGTCCTTCAGGTGCAGCTTCTCCGACTTGATCCTCCGGACCTTCAGCGGCTTCAGGCGCTTGCTCAGGCGCGAGCTGTGCCGGCTAGGCTGCCGCTCCGTGCCAGGCTCTGTGCCGGAGGCTCCCGGTGGCTGGGTGCTTTCGTCGAGCCCCGTCAGCGATTCGTAGGAGGGCAGGGAGACGCTGATCCTGTTGCTCCTGTCCGAGTCTCTGGGCTCAGAGTAGCCCACGTTCATCACCTCCTCGTAGCTGGGGACATAGTACTGGGAAGAGGCATCTTCCTCCTCTTCTTGGCTAGAGGGGAAAAAAATGAAGGCTGTGGGTAGCACATCATTTCAGCTTCACAGGGGGTAGGGGATGGAGAGGAGAGAATAAAACCACCACCACCCCCTTCAAAACCTTCAGAAAATATTTGCCCTTCCACATTAAATACCAGTCCCTTTCTGACCAGGACAGCTCACAACCCTGCCTGTGTTCAGACACGTTATTTCCTTCTGTCATTGATCATCGCTTTCTTTGCCCACAAAACCTCCTCTTCTATTGCACAGCAGTGATTTCTCCCCCAGCCAAACACAGATTTCTCTCCTCCCCTCTTGACATTCAGTCAAAATACATTTGAAAGGGACATCACCCCACTGCCTTTGCCATTCGGATCTCTTTTGGGTTGGGTACCTACCCCAAGTTTTTCTGCAAAGTGATTCTGCTCTGCGTTCTGTGCCACAGGTGCCTGCACATGTATACTTGGCATTTCTTTTGCATGATGAAGTTTCCTTTACAATCTAATTGGGAAAACCCATTTTCGGGGTGGGAGCGCACACAGGGTAATTCTCTGCAGGCACCGATGGCAGCTCTGCTCCGCAGCATTCCCTGGGCAGAGCCATCGCCGCCTCCCACCACCTCCCACCCCATGGCGCCCACAGGCACAGCCCGCACCGGGGTCCACACCGATCCCCCTGGCTGCCGAGACGGCCGTGGACTCCCACGCCCCGTGCTTGTTCTGACCGTGCCTGCTGCGGCAGCAGCCTTTGCTCTGCTCCTTGGGAGTTCCCTGAGCAAACAGGAGGGCTCTGCAGACTTTCACCGGGTCTAAACTCCATTTCCAGCTGCTGCCTATGCTGCTGCAGCCACAGCAGAGAGGCTGCTTGGCTCCTCCGGCTGCACCTGGCGAGACAGCGCGTCCTACGTCTCCTGCTCCTCTCCCTCCGCAGCCCCTCGCCCGGCTTGCCGGGCTTGCAGCAGCGACCCTGGTCCTCGGCGTCAACCGTCAGCCACTGCTCCCAGCGTTACCTCTCCGCATGTCCCCTCCATGCTGGCAAAGCCAGGGGCCGCATGTCTCAGCAGCGCTGGCTTGGCCACCACCTCCTCTAGACCCCAGCTTAGACACAGGCGATGCTTCCTTTCCCCTACAGCACCGTAAATCCAGCTGGAGTCATCGCCTCCTGATCCCTAAAGGGCAGCTGAGCCCTAAACCATGGCACCTGCTTCCTTTACTTTAGCGCACACTGCTATCGGCCTTACTCTCCTTGCTCCTGACCTCCTTGAAGAAGAATAACAGCTCTTAGTTCCATTCCTACGCCCAATCCCGCTCCCTTTCTCCCCAAAAAGGCTCACCTGTCCTCCTGCTGCGAGGGCTCTGCAGACGTGTGGTGCTGCACGCGAGCAATGTCTTCGCTTTGCCGCTTCTTGTCCCGGATGTTCAGGCAGATGGAGAGCAGCAGCAGCAGCACGCCTGCCCCCACCAACACGTACGCCACCGAGAAGGTTTTGCTCTTCAAAATGCCTCTGGTGTCGTGGTCGGGCTTGCTGCTGTTCCCGGCGTGGGTGGCAGGTTTGTCGAGGGGGCCGAAGCCGGGCACGAGGTTCCAGACGGCCATGATGATGCCGAGGACGAGCATCCCCAGCCCTATCGCCGTCAGGGCGTAGTGCGAGCCGTTAGCCCGAGACTGGGCCATCGCTCCCTGCTGCTGGCCGGGCCCCACCTTACAGCATGGCTCGGGTCAGGGGGGGCGCAGGCCCGCTAGCATGCGCGCAGTCCCCTCCCTCGGCAGGCAGCGAGCCCTGGGAAGAGACGGAAAGCGATGGTTAGTGTGCGGCGGGATGCGAAGGCGATGGGGCTGGCATTCCGGTGGCCACGGTAACATCGGTTTATCCTACTAATGCTGGCAATCTACCTCCACCCCACCTGCGGAGCACACATCAGGACATAACCCGGCAGTCGGCAGCAGGACCGCTGCCGGCCGCTCTCACCACGACCCTGTGCTACCTTCTCAGCTGTAATAAAAAGTTCCCTGTTTAGAGAAACGCTCCCTGCTTTATGGAACTGTGCTGCCTTGGACACACAGCTGCCCTCCACACAAACTAACCTGAAACCACTCAGAAACAAACCTCCAGCTGGACAATTTCTCTTTTCCCCCCGTTCAAGGGCTGCTTGCGGCGCTGGCTGCCTGCTCTGCAATGCCTCCCTGCCCAGAGAAGAGAAAGCAAAACCGCCGCCTTCCCAGCCAAGCCAACCCTGTGGCTTCCCCCGATCGCTGCCGGCAAGGGCTGCTCCGACCCGGAGCACTCGCCCACCCTGGAGTAACAGACGCTGGCAGGGATTCCCCCGGCTGTGTCCCGCTGCCTGCAGCGGGCTCGGGGCTGTCCGAGCGCTGCCGTTCCTGACAGCCAGCCCAGGGGTGGGAACTCCTCCTCCTCCTCCACCGCCTCGATCGAACGCCTGCGTTTTCCCAGTCGCCAGGACCAGACGTGCTCCCTTCCCAAAAATACGCGCACAGACCCGCATCCCCTGGCCGCTCGCTTGATGAAGATGGCAGCTGCGAGTGCAACCCCCTCCTGCAAACCACGGGCGAGTAACTTGGGTCCCTGCAGCAAAGCTCCCCCGCCTCCACCCCAGCGAGCCTCGCAGCAGCCTCCTTTGCAGCCTCCCAGTTTTGGGCATGTGCCAAACCCCACGTGCAGCTACATGAATGTGCCAGGGTATTCTCCCTCCCCCCCCAGCCCCAGCTTCTCGATGCTCGTTTGTGCTACAAGTCGCCCTCTGACGTGCTGCTGCTGCTGCGTGCTGTCTCCGTATACGCCCTCACCCTCCAGCATCGCCGTCCGGTTCCATGGTCCCAAGCTTCACGTTTGCTTGTTTAGCTCAAATCCCAGTTCATAGGGTCAAGGGCCAGAATAAACCAGCATTCCCAGAAAACAGACCAGCTCCGGCTGCTTGCAGGAAAAGACACGCACGCAAACCCGGGGAGGACAAAGCTGCAGAGCAACTTCCCCATGGCAGCCCACTCACGTCTGCGCCCAGCGCTGCTCCACAGGCTCACCGAGGGACGTCCCAGCCCCATCAGATGCAGCCCTGGCCCCACATTGGGGTTTTTGGTGTTCGTGCAGCACCGGGGGGGGGGCCACCCCCGCCATTCCCTGCGGCACGGCTCAGCACCATGCCCAGCCCCACTGCCAGAGCCAGCGCTGGGTTGCTGCCGCCCAGCGCTGCCCGCCCCTTGGGGAAGGCATCCCCTGCCCCCAGCTTTAATTCGGTCCTAGCAAGCAGCTGCTGAGGATGGGGCTCGTGCTACACCCGAAAGGTCCTCACCAACATCCTGAGGGCGATCGCAGCTCAGCAGCCCATCCCACCTGAGCGCTCCCGAGCCTGCGGCTGCTGGTCCCAGGAGTGGCCTCTGCCCTCCTACACAAAGTCTTTGCTCCCCGCCTGCCCCTGCCCTGCCAGCCCGTGCCCTGCCTGCCCCTGCCAGCCCATGCCCCTGCCAGCAGGGCACTGAGTGTGCCCAGGAGAGCGATGCCTACGTAGAGCCCTGTCTACATCCCAGACTTCCCCCCCAAAACCGAGTCACACACAAGGCAAATTGCATCACACATCCTCTTCCTTCGCCCGCCCTCTGCTGCATCAGACCCCATGCTCCCGGCCGTGCCGGTGATGCCCAAGCCTGCGGCGAGGGCCACCAAAGCTCTGATTTATCAGCACCCCTGCTTCTCCTTTTGGGTTTTTCCAAATGGTGGCTATTGGGTTTTTCCTTATGTATTTATCCCAAGGAGCTTGCATCTCCATGCTCTTTGACGCAGCATTTCACCGACAGGCATCGGCCGGCCGAGATTTCACTTGCAAACTGCTGCGATGGCTTTGGGGCAGGAAAATTGCGCTGCACACGTGGTGGGCACAGACAACACACAGAGCTGGTAACATTTACCCGTGGTGTCTAAAGCGCTGTGCCCGCGCCTGATCTCTCTGGCTTCCCTTGGGCACCTCACCCCTGGAAGCAGGCAGGATTTAAGCTTCTACATCATCCCTGTGCCTGAAAGTTTGACGTAGATCCCTCGCCGTGCTGCCCTGCAGCCCAGCAAATTCAGATTAAAGCGGGAGACTTGACACACGAGTCTGCCTCTCCGTTGCTTTAGCTCCGCTTTCAGCTTTCCAGAGCGCGCTCCTATTGCTGCTTTAGCAATAACCCCGGCACCCCGAGGTCAGCTCTCCCCTTGCCCCCCCAGCTCGCTGGCACCACAGAGCTGGGGCTCCCCATGCTGGCCTCCACCCTCCATCAGGCGGCGAGTGGTGGCCAAGCGCCCCAGCCCCCATCCATGCCCCCTTGCCCACGTCCTCCTCCCTCCACGCACTGTATGGGGTCTTCTCTGCAGCCAGACCCCCCCTTCGTCCACATCCCACGCACGCCTGCGGCCCTGCGCTGCTCTGGCAATGATTTACGCCAGGATCTCTGAATCATTAAACTCCACTGGCGCAGCTGCAAAGCCGGGGGCACCTGCACCTCCTCCCTGCTCGGCCGGGCTTCCCATGCTTCCCACCAGCTCCCTGCAGGCTGCCAGAGCCAAGGGACGCTTTGTGACTTCTCTCGGGACATTTCCGACTGTTAATTTGGCACAGGAGGACTCGGGATAAAGCCCTTTCCTCGAGCACCACACCCCAACATGCCTGGACGCACCCCAAAGGCTTTTGGCATGGGCACGCCGGTGGGCCGGCAGCAGAGAGCATCATCCCCTCTGCGGGGGACAGCCGCCCTCCGCAGCAATGGTCCCGCCGTGGGGACACAGACCCCCCCCGACAGAGTCAGCCCCGGATCGTGCTCCACTTCTCGGTGCTCCCGGTGAAACAGCAACCCCGCCGGGTGACTCACGAGGAAGCACGACACCCATCGCTGCCCACGGCGGCACCCACGCGCCTCTGCCCTCCCCAACCTTTGGATTTTTCCCCTCCCATGACATCACCGTCCTGCTCCCGGCTCCAGCAGCAACACCTTTGTCACGGGATCACGAGAGATGAGTTCGCAGTTCGGGGAAGGGCTCAAACCCCTGTGTGGTCACAGAGCACGGGACGAGCTCGCTCGCACAGAGCCTCCAGGCCTTCCTCGCCCCCGAGGAGGAGTCGGAGCACAAAGCGCGGCTCACAGCACGCCACCATGGAGAGACATGGCCCCTTGGAACCTGCCTCCAAAAGTGTGCAACTCCAAACTGATTTTCCAGAAAATTTTTTGGGAAAATAAGTCTCCTCTCCAAACACCCAAAGAGCCTCGAGCCCTCTGCTGTGTTAGCTTACATCGGATGACCGGACACAGCTCCCCTGCTTCCCAAGCTGCTCCCGGGGCTGGCGGTGGTTCAGCACCCCCCTCTTCCCAAGTCACAGCACCCCTCAACACCAGGGATCGGCTGCTCGTGCGCGGGCATTTCCAGAGAGTTTTGCACCATCTGGAGGTGGGACTGGAAGTCCCAGGGGGTTTGGCCCCGGCCCCGGGTCAGGCGAGATGATCAAAGACGGGGGGAACGCTGAGCCAGGCTGGGCTTCACCTCCCTGCCCGGCCCCAGCCCCAGGGGACAGACAGCCCCACGGGACAGACAGCCCCACTTTAGCTCCTCTGCAGCAGCGCCAGCATGCAGGGCTTCATCCTCGTGCTTACACCCAGCCAGCCTTCTCATTAACTGCCTTCCCTGCTAATTAGTGACTGCAGCACATCCTCGCAAGCTTGGGCTCTGTAGCCATCCCGGCAGAGGCAGTAGCCTTGCATGGAGCCCTCATCACACACAGGTTCAACCCACCCGCAACACAAAGCTCCACGTGGAGTTAGAAAACACGCAAGTCAGGGCTCGGGCAATATTTTCTCTCTCTCTTTTTTTTTTTTCTTCTTTTTTGGCCCTTCTCACCACCCACATTGCACCTGCCCCAGCAGCAGGGGCGCTTGTGGCCAGGCGCAGCTCAGGGGATGCGGGGAATTCCCCTGCCCCAGCGGGGAAAGCGGCCCAGAGCTGCCCAGCTGAGCTGGGAAAGCGGCCTTGCTGCTGCTTTGGCCAATTCCTGTTCCTTTGGATAAATACCCAGCCCAGAGCATCTCCCCAGGGAACACGGAGACCCGGAGGGACAGCCCCGTGCAGACTATCAGGGCTTTTCCACATTTTTGTTGCTTATGCTTCCTGCCAAGAGCGCACAGGAACGCAACCCACATTCATCGCTCTTTGCGGTCCCTACAGATGTTTTAAGAGCTATTTCACCACTTCTTTTTATTTTAACAACTCCTCCTCAGTTGCTCTCTTGCAGACAGCACCAGGCGAGCAGCAACATTTTCTTAAAATCCTGCACGAGGTGCTCCCTCATCCCGGTCCTGCACCAGCCCACCCCAGATGGGAGCCCGGGGTCCCCGACCCCGCAGTTTCCTGCAAAACAAGAGTGTCGCGGGAAAGCCAAGGCTGCCCGGCCCCCTCCCGGGCTCGGGATGCTGCAATCCGCCCCGCCGGCCACCTCAGCCACGCCGCCGGCTGCACCCCCCCCAGCCTTAATCGTCACTATGCGGCAGCCAGCCATGAGCTTGCCCTTCGCCATTGAGGTATGGGAAACTGCCCTCCCCACGCTTTTTCGCCCCATAATTTCATTACGGCCATCAGAGCGGTGCCTACTGCAAACCAGTAATGGACTCGGACCAAGAATCCTTTCAGATTTATA